CAAATTCCCCAAAGTCCGACAGACTTCTCACTTCCCTTTCGGGATCCAAACCTTCTTGGTGCTCTTCATGTTTGAAATGATTTCCTTTGGCACCCAAAAGCATTTGGCCCCATTGTTGGCTTGCTTGTTCACCTTAATGGCCACCACCTTGTCATTTTTCTTCTTCTTCAAGAGATAAGGTGTGGAGGCCTTCTTGTCCACCTTGTTGGTGTAGGTGTTGGAGAGCTTGCTTGTTTGCTTTTTCTCCTTCGTCTTTGCTCCTCCCTCATTCTTCACCTTGCACTCATATGACTTGTGACCTTCCTTGTGGCACATGTAACAAACCACGGTTTGTCCTTCATCAAGCTTCTTCACTCCCTTGACGGTGTTATCTTGATGAAGTTGGGTTTGCTTCGCCTTGCCTTTCACTTGAGTCAAGTTCTTGGTGAGGCGAGCTACTTCTTGCTTGAGTTGCTCATTCTCCTTTGCAACCTCTTATGTGCATGTATCTACAACAACTTTCTCAACACAAACTTGGTTGCACAAAGGTGAGTCTAAACATAAATCATTACAAGAAGTAGAGGCATCCCTTTTAGACATGTTGAAGATAGGACTTTTCTTTTTGGATGCCTTGGTGGGGGTTGTGCTAATGGCTTCAAGATTAGCAACTTTATTAGTTAGCTCATCACAATGTTTGCACATGGTTTCCATTTTAGCAAGCAAACTATTATATGCCTCTTGTGAGCTAGCTAACTTTTCTTTTATTTTTTCATTTTTCTTTCCAAGTTGCTCATCATTGATTGTGCATGTATTTGTTGTTGCATTAGCCTCAAGTTTCTCAATTTTAGTAGATAGTTCAACATTGAGATTAGCAAAGTTCTCATATTGTTCAAGCAAGATTTTGTATGCTTTTTGTGAACTATCTAGCTTTTCTTTTGAACTTTTGAGCTTCTTTTGTTCACTAGTGCAACCTTTAGCATAATTAAGATTTTCTCGCACAAGTTTACGATAAGAAGGCATATCATCATCACTATCACTCTAACTAGAGGAAGAGCTTTCGTTACCTCGTGCCATAAGGCACACACGAGAAGAGCTTGATGATGATTGCTTGCGGCCTCGCCTCTTGTGATGGGGTTCTTCTTTACTTGAAGAATCATCCCATGATCTTATTGATGTGAGGGCTTGGTTCTTGCATGCCTTCTTCTTTGTCTTGGGTGTGGGCTTGTTTGGACAAACTTCCACAAAGTGCCCTAACTCACCGCATCCATAGCATCCTCTCTTTATTTGCTCTTTTCTTTGATTTGTGAAAATGAAATCTTGAATTTGGATGGGCACACCCTTGATATCGAGCCTTTGGATCATCTTCTCCACCTTGTTGATCACTTTGATTGATTCTTCATCAAGATCGGAGGTGGAGGAGGAAGATTGATCATCACTTGAATCTTCATCATCATCATCATCGTCCTCATCTTCTTCTTCATCTTCACTTAAGGAACTTGAGCTTGAGCTTGTCTCAACTTGCTTGCCCTTCATCTTCTTTTTCTCGCTTCAAGCGAGAGCTTTGCCTTTGCTTGATGAAGAGGCTTCTTCTTGACCCATCTTACGTGACATTTCAAATGCCACTAACTTGCCAATGACTATGCCTGGGGTCATGTTGCTCAAGTCCTCCATGTTGTGAAGGATGGTGATGATGCTTGCATATTTCCCTCACGATGTCCGCATCATCTAGCTTTAATAATCCTATAGAATGGAGCTCATTGATAATTAGATTCAAATGAGAATACATATCACGAACAAGCTCATCATCATTCATAGTAAAGGAATCATAGTTTTGCTTTGCTAGACAATGTTTTTGCTCATGGACATTGCTTGTGCCGTCATGGAGCTCTTGGAGTTTTAACCAAATTTCATGTGCCGTAGTTAAAGTGAATACTTGGTTAAAAACATCCATACTAAGTGATTCAAACAAGCAATTTTTAGCTCTAGCATTGAAGTGCATTTCTTTTTCATCACTCTTTGTGGGTTTTTCGGGATTCTTGATGGGTTTCATCCCGTCACGAGTGACTCTCCATACACCCAAATCAACCGCCTCAAGGTGGCAAGCCATTCTAGATTTATAGTATGGAAAGTTAGTGCCGTCCAAGTGCGGAGGCCTAGCGGTATCCATCCCAATCACTCTAAATAGCGTCGGCTCAACGGCGGTTAAGTCAAAGGTCCAAATTGAGCCAACCGACTCTGATACCAAATGAAGGGACCGTGACGCCTAAGGGGGGGTGAATTAGGCAACTTAAAACTTCAACTCTAAACTATGGCCTCTTTTGCTAACCTTAGTAAAACCTATGCAAAGGATAAACTATCTAAATATGCAACTATGATTTTGCTAGTGTGTTGCTATCTCTACCGTAAAAAAGGAGTAATATAAGTAATGTAAATGCGGAAGCTAAAGAGCAAGGTAGAGATATGCAAATTCCCATCGACGACTTTGGTATTTTTACCGAGGTATCGAGAAGCGCGCAAGCTTCCCCCTAATCCTCGTTGGAGCCCCTCGCAAGGAATCGCTCGCAAGGGCCAAGCTCACGGTCGGGTAACTCCGTGGATAGCCTCGGGTCTTCCCCACACGCAAGTGGGTCTCCGACGTGCCTTCCGGCAAGCCTCTCCAGGATGCTCTCCACTGTCTTCACTATCAAGCTTCCGGCCGAAATGCCGCGGGCCTTGTTCCCTCCGGTACACGGTGGCGGCCACACCACAAACGCGGTTGGTGTGATCTCGCAAGACTTTAAGCCCCTCCGATGTACAACACTTGTGCTCGCAAGCACGGGGTGGCAAGAGGTATGCAAACCTCACTAAACACTAGGCATAAACCTAGAGCAAGCGCATAAGTGGTGGTCTAATCAACCTAAGCACTTCACAAAGCACTTATGCTAATCACCTAATAAAACACTAAGCACTATTCATGTGGAGATCACTAAAATGGTGTATCAACACCCTTGGTATGTTTCCTCAGCTCCACTTACTTCAAATGGCCGGTTGGGGTTGTATTTATAAGCCCCACTGAGAAAGTAGCCGTTGGGGTCGAATTCCCACAAGCGCTCTCTTGCCATCGACATCGTCGCTGAATCGTCGATCAACGCGTCCGTCGTCCGAACCGTTGAGCCGGCAATATATCGATCGACGGACGCCGGCGTCCGTCGCTCCTCCACCGGACGTGTCCGGTCGCAGATTTGCCGCTCAGGAACCTTACTGTAATCGATCGGACGCTGCTGTCATACGTCCGGTCGGTTGCCGCCAGCGTCCGGTCTGGGATCCGGTCACCTATCTGCCGAGCCACTTGCCCAGCGTCCGGTCCTGTATTCGGTCACCACAATGAGCTCATTTCTTCACGATCTTGCGTACGGCTTGGTTCCAATCTTCGCGCTTGGACTTTGCTTGATATCTTGGGCCTTCTCTTGTGCTTCTAAGGTCTTTCTTAAAGTGTTGATCATCGGATCACCACGTCGCCTTCGTCCAAGTCACGTCTTCCACCCTATTGAACTACAAAATAAACACTTGTAAATTCATTAGTCCAATTTGGTTGTGTTGATCATCAAACACTAAAATCCAAAATAAATGGGCCAAGGATCCATTTTCCTTACACATATGAAACAATTACAACATGCCTCTGAAACGTCTGAAATAGTTGAAACATACATTTGTAACATAGGGGGGAGAGGCCTGTGTCGGTCGATTCCGACCGATGGGGTGAGAGCCGGCGGCAAGCGGCTGCACGCGAGCACCACCTAGCGCCAGCACCACCACCACCACCACCAGTGCAATTGGCACCAGGCATGGCTCGGCGGCGACGGTGGGGGATGGGGGCGGGGAGCGCCATGGCCTCCCGGGGGGGGGAGCTCGGTCGCCGGGGTGAGAGAGGGTGTCACTGGGGTGGGGAGGGCGCCGCGTCGGGGTGGGAGAGAGCCGCCCACTTCCTTGCAAACACCGTTGTGCCACCTCCATGGATCTCGCCGGAGGCGAGTGGATCTCGCCCGTGCTCCATGGATCTGCCGGGGTGGGGGATAGGACCACCGGATCTGCAGGCATTGGGGGCTTCCGGTGAGGACGCCGGGGTGGGGGAGGACGCCGGGCGTTAGTGCGTTTTGGCAAGGGATGAGGAGCGCGAAAGAAGTAATGGAGAGGAGGAAGTGAAGGGATAGGTTTTTTTAATATACATGTGGACGGAGCAAGCGGCGGGTGTGAAAAAGCCATCCGACATTTGTGCGGTCGACACGCGACAGGTACGACACCAGCTACAGAAACTGATCGAGTGCAAGCGAACGCAGAACCAGAACTCTACTGTGGTCCACCGTCCACGTATCGTCAGTGATCACCCACATGGGAAGAGTTCTCGTGTAGCCATGGCCCCGGCAACGGCGCGTGAGGTCTCAGCTCTTGAGCACAGGAACATACTGTTGACCGTCCAGAAAACGGCCGGTCACCACCTTGTCCCATTCCTAGCATACGGCACACTCCATTTGCGAAAAAGGATAAATATGATGAACACATTTTACAGTTTTGCTTTGCATACCCAGAAGGGAACTCCAGAACACTCCACTTGCTGGAGCCTGGACGCGTTTATTATTTTCTTAATAATTTTCTGGAAGCGCTTTCGTTCAGTCAGACTCACAGCCAACTCCTCGGCCAATACTGTCTCAGTTGTCGAGCACAGAAGCATACACTATTGAACATATTGAGAACGGTCACCGTGTCCTCATTTCGCAGTATAGGACACTCCATACGCGTAAAAGAAACAATGAACAGATCCTTTACATGATTCAAAAGGAACTTGGTCCACTCAAGAACCACTGATGAGGTATTATACGGTGTAGACACACATTGCTGATGCAGAAGAGCTCTGGAATCCAGTGCCACACCATTACCGGCACTTTCTGAGAAAGATGCATTCAGTTAGTTTTTTTTTTTTTACAACATCAGACTGTAATTGGCAAGCCCATATGGAGGAAGAGTAGTTTGGCAAGGACAAGATGTTAGTAGGTTTTGTATAATCCCATCAGAGGCTTCTCTCTATCCTCCACTCTCTTCCTCGCTGCTTCCCGTGCTTTGAGGGCCGCTTCCTCCTCCTTGGAGATCACCTTGGGCTTGCCGTCCTCCCTCTTCCTCTTGTTAACAGCAACAGCAGATGGAGCAGGAGTGCCCTTAATAGGTCTCATTGGGTTCAATGGTTTCGTGACTACCCGACCTGGAGCTGGACCTCCTTTAATAGCAGGAACAGCCATTTCTGCAGCAGGAGCTTTTGTTTGTGAAGTTGAGGATTGACCAATGTCTGTTTTGGAAGTTTGCACAGACTTGTACGCCTCTTCTTGAGTAACCCACTTGCCTGCTCATTTACAAACATAAACATCAATATACAATATATATGAAAAGAGAAAATCCAGACTGGACTACAAGACATAACATTACAAATGAAATTACCTAAACTATCAGAATAATAGAAGCCAGAGTTTGAATCATAGTAAAGTCCAGTAGATTTGTCATGGTAATATCCCGATGCCGAGTCAAATACCCACCCTGCAGAAACCAGATTTGAAGAAATGTCACCAGATAGAGAGAAAATTCAGACAAGATGATTTGTTCTAGTCAACATATGATCAGGTTTATGCAAGGAATGCTTCATAATTCATAGGACTCAGGAGAATAATCTAAAACTCAAGAAATTAAGTTGGCTGCTTGCACATAGTCATTAATATCCACTAATCTAGCTTCTAGGCAACATATCAAGATTGGCAGATAACCAGAATTGATAAACAAGCCAGGTCAGGTATGAACTTATTTTAAGTGAAGAACAGACTTCTAGAAGAAAGCTAAAATCTTTCACTTATTTCAAATATTGTTATAAACATTGCCCAACAACAAACTCATGGGGCTGACAGAAGAATTTTGTCTTCTTTTCTAGTATAAGAACATTTAGCTTGGAATAAGAACAGAAAGTAGCAAGATGTAGTTCCAGGCCAGCAGAAAGTAATGTCAGGATTTGATTGGGTGATTCAATTTTTTTAAGTTCTAGAACAAATAAGCCAGGCCTTAAAAAACTGATACAGCCCAGCTAATTATCAGGATCTCTTGGTTGACCAATCCAAGTCTGGTTGAGTGAGCTCAATGGGAAGAAGTCCAAAATATACAGGGGCGGAGCCAGGAATACTAGAAGAGGGGTGCTTGGTGCATGCATTTTAACTGAACAGGTGCTGAAGCGTTTAAGTTTGGGCTTCCTAATTGCTTTTGATCATTGCTTGAGGTATACAGTCAGGGGGCAGCTGCCGTTCCTCCGCCCCCGAAAATATATTTGAAAAAGAGCTAGTGACAGTGGAGGGAAAACACACACACATAAGAGTAATATAGCAAGCTAATCAGCACTCAAGTTAAGAGAATACGGAAGATGATCCTCGATGTGGGTGCATTCTGTATACAGAATCACAGATCAAAGATGAGCACAAACACAGCAGAATACAAACCATACTAGAGAATGCACTGAATTGTTTATATATATAAAACAGTAAAGCCATACACAACCATCTCCAGGTGCCGAAGAAGTGTCTCCATCAACATTCCTCTGGCTATTCTCTAAATCCTTTTGATAGCTCTTTTTAGCTTTCTGCAGCAGAAAAAAAGTTGAACATGAATCAGGCATGCTTCCGTAGCTCATGAACCAATTGCTAAAGCACGACAAACAGGCACAAGACATCAGTATGAAGCCAAAAAGGACATATTACAGCTGTATGAATACAATATCGTCTTCTGTATATAAAGCGTTCTAGTTTATGTGAGAGAACTATATGCATACCACCAATGGATACTGAATAATACCATGGTAATAGGAAAAAATGCGAATCTGAGAACTTACTGCTTCTATCTGCTGTAGGGCTCGGGCAGCTTGCTGCTGTTCCTTTTCCTTTGCCTCACTCTCCTTTTGCATTGTCGACAGTCTTTTCGTGACATTGTCCTTGTGGCGCTTACCAAGTTCATGTGTCCTGATGCTGAAGGAATTGTTCGCTATATAAATCTTACAGAAGTCACACCATTTGTTTCCTTGGCTCACCCAATACTGAAACAAGGGAGGCAAAGGAGAACTCATTATTCCCCAACCGAATTTGCACAAATGGATGTTTCATACAATATAGTTTAACAACATAACAGCTAGCAGATGACTGAAAACAACATTTTGAATGACAAAAGAAGCCTGTTATTCTTTTGCGTGAGAGATAAGCATATTAACATTTACTTGGAATGAGACTACTTATTGTGGGCACAGCACATTTGCACTCTCCTCACCTAGCATCTACATTCTTTTTCCTTTTTTTCAAAAATTTGAACAAATAATTCAGAAGCAGGTAGCATTCACGACAACAACTGAAATCTAATCGATAATTCCACCCTAACCACCAGAGCCCAGATGCCTGACCACCACAGAACCCCGTCAGAGGGCCGAAATCTCTGCTCTTATGCCTCGCAAAGCCACACCTTGTACTCTACCAAGACACTGGATAGTGCCAAGCATCCACACGTACAAGCACAAGCACTCCCAGCTATCTAACCCTAATCCCTAGAGACCCACGAGAAAGAAGGCAAGGCCGCGCGAGGGTACAGGGTACTACCACCCAGGTCCCGCAAAAACGTTCTTCCCTGTAGCGAGAAGATCGCTAGCGAGCACAAACGAGACCGCGGTTCCGCCCGAATCGGATCTCACGACCGCGGCCTCAAATTTCCATGGATGTGGGTAAGGGAGAGTACCTCCGTCATGGCGCCGGGAAGGGTATCCGCGAGAAGGGGACACGGGGCTTCGTCCTTGCGGCGGGAGATCGCCGGCGCAGCCGAGGAGGGTGCGGATTTGACGCGGCTGGAGGGGGCAGCCGGAGGCGGCAGGCGCGTTCGCCCCCAAGAGCAAGAGGTTTCTGCCGAGTGCGAAGTACACAAAGGCCAAAGGGCCAAGTCGGCTTCGGCCTTCGGAGTTTGGGCTTCTCACAGTCAGCCAAAGCTAACCAACTGAAAATCAGATGTTAATTGTGTTCTAATTGCTAGGAATGGAAATTCCATGAAAAAAATACCTACGAAAACCAGCTGGATTTCACTGTTTCCGATAAAGAATACTGTTTACAATCTCATAAATTTCTTCGGATTCATTCAGATTTCTCCAAACGAACAGACCATTTTAGGGCTCGTTTGGATACATGTGTATCTACTTCAATCCGCATGTTCAATTTACATGTGTTGGAGTGGAATGAAATGGAATTTAATTTAATTCCACTCCAATTCACTTCAACACATGTACATGTGCATACAAACAAGACCTTAATTGGTTATCTAAATAGTCATTCCCTATTTCAGATTTCTCGCCACTTAAAGACAGAGAACGAGCCTAACTCTCTAGAGTGTATGCAAGATATAAAAAAGTTATTGGAAACATGAAAAGATATACAAATCCATTTTCATTCAAATAACTTTTCAAATGATGATTTAGAGAGTGAGCTTTAGAAAGACTCTTGAGATGATCTTAATTGCTTTTACAACTCTACATCATATATACTACATGAGTAAATACAGGCTAAGTGTGAATAAAAAAAATAGGCTGAGTGGATGCATTACTTTGAAAAAAATATTGTCGGGAACTAGTATTAGGGTATCCGAAGAGAAGCAGTTAATGGTCATACCCGACCCTTGGGTTTGTGCTCCGCCTCGCCCGACCCCGAGGCCGCGGGCTTCGCCTCGCCCGACGGGGACCCATACCGCCGCCAACCACTCCAGGTCCAAGCGTATGGGCCTGAGTCAAAACTCCGACACTAGGGAAGAGACTGGCACGCATCGATGTAACCCATGGCTATAATGGGCCATATCTGAGGGTTCACATCAAGAACAGCATTGGACGTGCCAGTGTTGTTCTGTCTAACCCTCGTACTAACGATGACAGGCGCGTCAGTTCACCACGACGTCCGTCGGGACGGGATGGAACGCCATGATCGGCAGAAGACGCCTGCGCATGGCGCTAGTGACGGACAGGGCCGCGACGTGGAGCTATCCCTGTTGACATCTACAGGATCGGATGAAGGAGAAGAAGGACCCGACGATCCTGAAGGCATTCTTCTCTCTCGTTCTTCTCTTTTCTTCACTGTAACCCGTGATTTCCCTTGGCCTATAAAAAGGAAAGCAGGGTATCCCATGAGGAGGATCCAATTCAATCCGATCGAACCATCGAGATCCGATACAGATCGGCACAAGAGCATGACACGAACGCACAACTGAGCAGCGATCGAGCTCTCAGCACCCACTCAGTCCTTTCACCAGAGACTTAGGATCCTTTCCCTCTCTCGCCCATTTGTAACCCCTACTATAAACTTTCAGTGCTAGTAATACGAGCAGCAGCGATGAACTGGACGTAGGGACTTTCTGCCCAAACCAGTATAAACCTAGTGTCCTCTCAGCACACCATCCGATCCAGACGCGCAATATTAGAAATTTACTCGTCGGTGGTAACTCAAAACACCGACAGTTGGCGCGCCAGGTAGGGGCCTTTTGCACGTCTCGACGTCCACACCATATCTCGGATGGCTAGTCATGGTGCCAGCTGGGTACCGAGTGCGCACGTGCGCTTCAGGAACCTGGACTTCATCATCACAACAGAAGGGGACTGGCGCAGGCTCCCGCCGCTGCCCAACCTCTCCACTCCGCCGACGTCGACGCGATCGCCGAGGCGCTTGAGGAGCTGCAGCTGCACGCACCGAAGGCCCACGCCCCCGGGAGTGACCAACTTCTTGGCTTCGACTACGGGAGGTTAGAGCGCCAGCTCGGCGCCTCCTGGGACCCCGACCGTCCCGGGAGGACCTAGGCCGCCTCACCTTCTCGTTCGCCAACATCATAACACAGCTTGCCAGAGGAGAGCCGCTGTCCCCGGAATATCTCATCCGAAGCGCCCCGACAGCGCTCTCGTTCAGTCTGTGCAACGCCGCCGAAATTGCTGGCCACCTTGTGGCATAGCGCATGCCCCCATCCCTTACGGATGGCGAGTTCATGGGGAGGACTAAATATGTCATGAAATCTTTCCACGATCTCCTCGCAGGATGACCGAATATGTCACGGAAACCGCTGGCCACCTTGTGGCGCAGCGCACGCCCTCCAACTCTGACTCCAACAGGGGGAGCCATCACCCCTCTCGTGAATGTTTCATGACAGGTACCCCCGAGGGACACGTCGAAAGCATCCACGAGGGAGAGGCTACCCCAACGAACAACTTCGATGACGAGGTCGAGAGAGATGTAGGGGCCCCACCTCGCCTGCGGGTGGAGCAGTTGAAGGCCCGGCACCAAGAGCTCGAGGAAGCACAACTCCAGCTCGAGCAGGAACGCACAGAGCTCGAGCGAGAGATCGAGCGCCACGGAGACGGTGGGCGTGCACGCACTGTGTGACAGAACCGCCCAATTTATACAAGATCAAGTACGGCTGTCCCCGTTTAGCACGTTGACTCACACATACTTTTACTATATAAACCCGGTAGTCCACCGAGTGTCACGAAGGACCTCGGTAAATCAACATCACAATCAAGATCGCGTGATTAAGCAAATACACACCACATACATAGAGTTACAGCGCAAATAATATTACAAATGGGTTCACAAATAATAATACAAGTTTGGGTTTCAAAACCGATTAGTGAAAACAACATAGCTTTCAAATGACAATAATATAAGTTCCAATTACATTGCTAGCATAAGTGACGTCCTCTAACAACAGCATATAGATGAGAAATAAATATAGAGTCACTGAGCCCACCGGTGGTTAGCCACCATCTTCAGCAGGTCGAGAACTTCACCTGCAATATGGTGGGATAAACCCTGAGTACTCGAATGTACTCAGCTAGACTTACCCGTCATAAACCAGAAATAAAGTGTCACCAAAGAGTATGCAAGGCTTTATAGGTGGAGCTAGCTTGACAAAATTTTGCATAAAAGTCACTAGTTGAGCTATACATTTTACAATTCGGTAACCAAGTTAATTATAGCTATTCATCTCTAGATTAGCAACTAACCTGTGCCAAACATGTGGAATATCATTTAGTAACAGGCAATAGTAACCATAACCGGTGTAGTAATGTGAGTATCATCATCATAACCATAAAGTTTCCATTAAGTTACTCTACGTTGTCGCTGCTCAGTTAAGTTCTCACTATCCGGGAGAGATGACGATTCGAATCGATTCCTATCCAACTAGGAAATTACTTCTAACACAAACCCGGACATACCTGTGCCAAGGTAGTCTTAGGTCACCTTTGGTACAACTCAGGAACCAACTTCGCGGGTCCGATCAGCGCCGCACCCTTAGAGATTCTACCAATCTGCCAGGAAGATCGGGACTCGAACCCATCCTTGGACTCACGCCATTGGCTCTCCGCACATCTTTACTACCAACCAGGGTGCGCACTTTCACTTATCGGGGCCCAGCCTGAGTTGAGCTACTCGGCTTCGCGGTCGGAACGAGTTATCCGGCCAACTAAGTGCTAGGCATGCGTTCAACATGACATGATGACGTACAGCAAATCGGTCCTTAACCGACACAAACGGGGATAAATAGGCACCAAGACCTCCATGCCTTGTTGCTTCTCTATCACAATCCTGTCCGGTATCCTTTTTATTCATCAACATATGGTTATTTCCACGATAGCAAATATAGCCAACCGTGCTATGGTATCCATCTATATCTCGCCGGTGATAGGAAATCACCTGACTTCTACCGGTCTAAGCATTGCCAAGCATACATTCGATCCTGGACCTACATAGGGTTTAAGGTATATTTCTGGACAACGTAGTTCTATGCATCAAGTGGTTCCAATCAACTCTTATAACCTAATGCATTAAACATAAAGAACTCAAGTGATATTTGTAAAAATATAGGAGGCTTAGAATGCTTCGGGGCTTGCTTGGGATCCAACACTAGGTCAGTGTTTGTTAGATGACACTCGCTTAGCGAGCATCTCCCATCTTAGCACTTGCTTAGTCCTTCCATCTTCGGGATAGTTCCATCATACACCGTCTTCGGGTTTGGCCCCAACATCACGCCCTTCAAGTGGTTCATCTAGCATACCTAAATGAGATGCAAGATGCAAGTGCATGAATATGAAGAATGGTAATATAAGATGCATCACATAATAGCATTCAAGGCAAACATAAGATCATGCAAGACATAGACACCTATAGTTATTTAACTAAACATCACACAACCTATTATAGAGGGATAGCAAACATATTAGGCATGGCACACAAGTGAACTTAAGTTCAGATATTGCACACATGCATCGATCAAAAACTAACCAACATGTTTAGCCAAATCTAGAGCAAGCTAAAGCAATCACCTAGCACATGTATAGAAATATGGACAGCAGCACAACAGTCACTTGTTTTAACCATAACTAGAGATATAGGCATCCAACAAGGGTGACCTTAGACTTTCTATAAATCTAATGAAATTATCTAAAACTTTGTTATTCATTCCAAAAGCTAATTCATAGGTTAACCAGATCAAATATGCCAATATTTCAGATCTGCACAGAACTAGGACATAAAAGTAGTAGTAATTTCAAAAATGCATAACTGGAGTTACAGGCCTCAAATAAGCATGAAACTTAACTTTATAGAAAGCTTATGAAATTATCTAAAATATGTTTATTATCATCTCAAGGTGATTCCACAATTAATAAGGTCAATCAAGCACAATTGAGCACATCTGTCCAGACTTGGATAGATTCTGCCATGCAA